ACGTCCTTGTCGCACAGTTAGAAGTAAGGCACGACAAATTTCCTTTTCCTCATCACTTAAAGCACATGTTCCAGATGACGCCAGTTTTTGCTAGGGGAAGACCACCGGTCTACCCGTGACACCACTTGCAATTGATGCTAGAGGAAGGCCAACACTGCACCCGTGACGCCAGTTGATGCTAGAGGAAGACCAACACTGCACCCGTGACGCCAGTTGATGCTAGAGGAAGACCAACACTCTGCACCCAGTTGATGTGACGCCAGTTGATGCTAGAGGAAGACCAACACTGCACCCGTGACGCCAGTTGATGCTAGAGGAAGACCACCGGTCTACCTGTGTCGCCAGTTAATGTTAGAGGAAGACCCACAACTCCATCCGTGACGCCACTTGATGCTAGAAGAAAACCACCACCCGTGACGCCACTTGATGCTAGAGGAAGACCACCACTCTACCCGTGACGCCACTTAATGCTAGAGGAAGACCACCACTCTACCCGTGACGCCAGTGATGCTAGAGGAAGACCACCACTCTACCCGTGACGCCAGGTGATGCTAGAGGAAGACCACCCTCTACCCGTGACGCCACTTGATGCTAGAGGAAGACCACCACTCTACCCGTGACGCCAGGTGATGCTAGAGGAAGACCAACACTCTACCTGTGACGGCAGTTGATGCTAGAGGAAGACCACCACTCTACCCGTGACGGCAGTTGATGCTAGAGGAAGACCACCACTCTACCTGTGTCGGCAGTTGATGCTTGAGGAAGACCACCACTCTACCCGTGACGCCAGTTGATGCTAGAGGAAGACCACCACTCTACCCGTGACGCCAGGTGATGCTAGAGGAAGACCACCACTCTACCCGTGACGCCAGTTGATGTTAGAGGAAGACCACCACTCTACCTGTGACGCCAGTTGATGCTAGAGGAAGACCACCACTCTACCCGTGATGCCAGTTGCTGCAAGAGGAAGACCAACACTCTACCTGTGACGCCAGTTGATGCTAGAGGAAGACCACCACTCTACCCGTGACGCCAGTTGATGCTAGAGGAAGACCACCACTCTACCCGTGACGCCAGTTGATGCTTGAGGAAGACCACCACTCTACCCGTGACGCCAGTTGATGCTAGAGGAAGACCACCACTCTACCCGTGACGCCAGGTGATGCTAGAGGAAGACCACCACTCTACCCGTGACGCCAGGTGATGCTAGAGGAAGACCACCACTCTACCCGTGACGCCAGTTGATGCTAGAGGAAGACCACCACTCTACCTGTGACGCCAGTTGATGCTAGAGGAAGACCACCACTCTACCCGTGATGCCAGTTGCTGCAAGAGGAAGACCACCACTCTACCCGTGACGCCAGTTGATGCTAGAGGAAGACCACCGCTCTACCCGTGACGGCAGTTGATGCTAGAGGAAGACCACCACTCTACCTGTGACGGCAGTTGATGCTTGAGGAAGACCACCACTCTACCCGTGATGCCAGTTGATGCTAGAGGAAGACCACCACTCTACCCGTGACGCCAGGTGATGCTAGAGGAAGACCACCACTCTACCCGTGACGCCAGTTGATGCTAGAGGAAGACCACCACTCTACCTGTGACGCCAGTTGATGCTAGAGGAAGACCACCACTCTACCCGTGATGCCAGTTGCTGCAAGAGGAAGACCACCACTGCACCGTGACGCCAGTTGATGCTAGAGGAAGACCACCACTCTACCAGTTGATGTGACCACCACTCTACCCGTGACGCCAGTTGATGCTTGAGGAAGACCAACACTGCACCCGTGACGCCAGGTGATGCTAGAGGAAGACCACCACTCTACCCGTGACGCCAGTTGATGCTAGAGGAAGACCATACCACTCTACCCGTGACGCCAGTTGATGCTAGAGGAAGACCACCACTCTACCCGTGACGCCAGTTGATGTTAGAGGAAGACCACCACTCTACCTGTGACGCCAGTTGATGCTAGAGGAAGACCACCACTCTACCCGTGACGCCAGTTGCTGCAAGAGGAAGACCAACACTGCACCCGTGACGCCAGTTGATGCTAGAGGAAGACCACCACTCTACCCGTGACGCCAGTTGATGCTAGAGGAAGACCACCACTCTACCCGTGACGCCAGTTGATGCTAGAGGAAGACCACCACTCTAGAGGAAGACTACCTGTGACGCCAGTTGATGCTAGAGGAAGACCACCACTCTACCCGTGACGCCAGTTGATGCAAGAGGAAGACCAACACTGCTACCCGTGACGCCAGTTGATGCTAGAGGAAGACCACCACTCTACCCGTGACGCCAGGTGATGCTAGAGAGGAAGACCACCACTCTACCCGTGACGCCAGTTGCTGCAAGAGGAAGACCAACACTGCACCCGTGACGCCAGTTGATGCTAGAGGAAGACCACCACTCTACCCGTGACGCCAGTTGATGCTAGAGGAAGACCACCACTCTACCCGTGACGCCAGTTGATGCTAGAGGAAGACCACCACTCTACCCGTGACGCCAGTTGATGCTAGAGGAAGACCACCACTCTACCCGTGACGCCAGTTGATGCTAGAGGAAGACCACCACTGCTACCCGTGACGCCAGTTGATGCTAGAGGAAGACCACCACTCTACCCGTGACGCCAGTTGATGCTAGAGGAAGACCACCACTCTACCCGTGACGCCAGTTGATGCTAGAGGAAGACCACCACTCTACCCGTGACGCCAGTTGATGCTAGAGGAAGACCACCACTCTACCCGTGACGCCAGTTGATGCTAGAGGAAGACCAACACTGCACCCGTGACGCCAGTTGATGCTAGAGGAAGACCACCACTGCACCCGTGACGCCAGTTGATGCTAGAGGAAGACCACCACTCTACCCGTGACGCCAGTTGATGCTAGAGGAAGACCAACACTGCACCCGTGACGCCAGTTGATGCTAGAGGAAGACCACCACTCTACCCGTGACGCCAGTTGATGCTTGAGGAAGACCAACACTGCACCCGTGACGCCAGTTGATGCTAGAGGAAGACCAACACTGCACCCGTGACGCCAGGTGATGCTAGAGGAAGACCACCACTCTACCCGTGACGCCAGTTGATGCTAGAGGAAGACCACCACTCTACCCGTGACGCCAGTTGATGCTAGAGGAAGACCAACACTGCACCCGTGACGCCAGTTGATGCTAGAGGAAGACCACCACTCTACCCGTGACGCCAGTTGATGCTAGAGGAAGACCACCACTCTACCCGTGACGCCAGTTGATGCTAGAGGAAGACCACCACTCTACCCGTGACGCCAGGTGATGCTAGAGGAAGACCACCACTGCACCCGTGACGCCAGTTGATGCTAGAGGAAGACCACCACTCTACCCGTGACGCCAGTTGATGCTAGAGGAAGACCACCACTCTACCCGTGACGCCAGTTGATGCTAGAGGAAGACTACCACTCTACCCGTGACGCCAGTTGATGCTAGAGGAAGACCACCACTCTACCCGTGACGCCAGTTGATGCTAGAGGAAGACCACCACTCTACCCGTGACGCCAGTTGATGCTAGAGGAAGACCACCACTCTACCCGTGACGCCAGTTGATGCTAGAGGAAGACCACCACTCTACCCGTGACGCCAGGTGATGCTAGAGGAAGACCAACACTCTACCCGTGACGCCAGTTGATGCTAGAGGAAGACCACCACTCTACCCGTGACGCCAGTTGATGCTAGAGGAAGACCACCACTCTACCCGTGACGCCAGTTGATGCTAGAGGAAGACCACCACTCTACCCGTGACGCCAGGTGATGCTAGAGGAAGACCACCACTGCACCCGTGACGCCAGTTGATGCTAGAGGAAGACCACCACTCTACCCGTGACGCCAGTTGATGCTAGAGGAAGACCACCACTCTACCCGTGACGCCAGTTGATGCTAGAGGAAGACCACCACTCTACCCGTGACGCCAGTTGATGCTAGAGGAAGACCACCACTCTACCCGTGACGCCAGTTGATGCTAGAGGAAGACCACCACTCTACCCGTGACGCCAGTTGATGCTAGAGGAAGACCACCACTCTACCTGTGACGCCAGTTGATGCTAGAGGAAGACCAACACTGCACCCGTGACGCCAGTTGATGCTAGAGGAAGACCACCACTCTACCCGTGACGCCAGTTGATGCTAGAGGAAGACCACCACTCTACCCGTGACGCCAGTTGATGCTAGAGGAAGACCACCACTCTACCCGTGACGCCAGTTGATGCTGAGAGGAGGAAGACCACCACTCTACCCGTGACGCCAGTTGATGCTAGAGGAAGACCACCACTCTACCCGTGACGCCAGTTGATGCTAGAGGAAGACCACCACTCTACCCGTGACGCCAGTTGATGCTAGAGGAAGACCACCACTCTACCTGTGACGCCAGTTGATGCTAGAGGAAGACCACCACTCTACCCGTGACGCCAGTTGATGCTAGAGGAAGACCACCACTCTACCCGTGACGCCAGTTGATGCTAGAGGAAGACCACCACTCTACCCGTGACGCCAGTTGATGCTAGAGGAAGACCACCACTCTACCCGTGACGCCAGTTGATGCTAGAGGAAGACCACCACTCTACCCGTGACGCCAGTTGATGCTAGAGGAAGACCACCACTCTACCCGTGACGCCAGTTGATGCTAGAGGAAGACCACCACTCTACCCGTGACGCCAGTTGATGCTAGAGGAAGACCACTCTACCTGATGCTCTACCTGTGACGCCAGTTGATGCTAGAGGAAGACCACCACTCTACCTGTGACGCCAGTTGATGCTAGAGGAAGACCACCACTCTACCCGTGACGCCAGCTGATGCTAGAGGAAGACCACCACTCTACCCGTGACGCCAGTTGATGCTAGAGGAAGACCACCACTCTACCTGTGACGCCAGTTGATGCTAGAGGAAGACCACCACTCTACCCGTGACGCCAGGTGATGCTAGAGGAAGACCACCACTCTACCCGTGACGCCAGTTGATGCTAGAGGAAGACCACCACTCTACCCGTGACGCCAGGTGATGCTAGAGGAAGACCACCACTCCACCCGCGACGTTGTCATCCACTTCAGCGTATGCTTCAGTCGTGTGTCGAACTGTATCAGGTGAAGATCCTCTTTGGAATTGTATGTGATGATATTCCTCCTCCACTTGCTCTCGTGATCCCTCTCTAAAACAAAACGTCCCCAATCACTGTAAGTTTTTTTTTTACATACGTATGTATGTATGCATGCATGTATGTATGTATGTATGTATGTATGTATGTATGTATGTATGTATGTATGTATGTATGTATGTATGTATGTATGTATGTATGTATGTATGTATGTATGTATGTATGTATGTATGTATGCATGTATGTATGTATGCATGCATGCATGAATGTATATGTATGTATGTTTACATGCATGCTTGTGTATACATGCATGCATCCATGCATGTTTGAATGTGTGTGTGTGTGTGTGTGCACGCATGTGAACACTGAAATATGGCTTGACTCCAATAAGGTTTAATAATCAGAAGCTTCACAATCGTATGGCAGACTCTGGTTCCCGCTATAGAACAGGAAGTAGGCTTGGTTAACACCAAAACTTGGCTTAACATATAAACATAGAAAACTAGGATCCAATATCGAAATACGGATTTGTAATTCTACAACCACCTCTGGGGACAAGTTATGGATGTCAGGCCCTCTGTTATCAGGAACACAACGTTTAGGAGTATACTCTTGTTCCTATACCACCTGGTGAATATACTTCGAAGCGTTGTGTTGCTATCATAATAGATAAGTTGATATCCATGATTTTCCAAGTAACCTGAATCACTACTAAATTACTATGACATTAAACTCTATTTATACTTTAAATGTCAACTTCGAGTACATGTTTATATCATTCCAAATAATAAATCTGATATAACATTGTGTATTATTGTCGTGTCACATTGTCCTGCTCGACAAAGGATAAGCACGATATAGTCACAGGATAGTCACATTTAGATTGATCACGGTGTAAGAATCTACATCGAAACGTTGCAACAAACAAGAGGCTGTTATCCTTGAGTGAGTGAGTGAGTGAGTGAGTGAGCACTCAGTAATATTCCAGCTATATGGCGGCGGTCTGGACATACTCGAATCTCGACCAGACAATCAAGTGATCAACAGCATCAGCATCAATCTACCCAACTGGGATGTGTCAACCAAGTCAGCGAGCCTGACCACCCGATCCCGTTAGTCGCCTCTTACGACAAGCATGGGTTGCTGAAGATCAATTCTAACCGGATCTGCACGGCTCTGTCCTTAAATAATCCTAGAATGCTGACAATTGATTCAGTGGACCACATATAATCAGGGATGCCGAGAATGAAGACAAAAGAGAATGTACACCATACTCACTGTTTTATGTGCCAGCATTTCAGGACGATTCCGACAAGTATTGTGAAGGTGAAAAACACAAAAAACAAGGACAGTGCAACCACTGCCGTGTTTAAATATGTGGAGTGGCTACCTGAAACATAGCAAACACACGATATCATTGTGTTTTATGGATGACATTATTAACAGAATACACATTAGCATTGGATGACATTAATAATATCTGGATGACAGTAATAATAAACCCCCGTTATCAGTGTGTTATCTGGATGACATTAATAATAAATCCCCGATATCAGTGTGTTATCTGGATGACATTAATAATAAACCACCGTTATCATCGTGTTATCTGGAAGACATTAATAATAAACCCCCGTTGGCAGTGTGTTATCTGGATGCTATTAATAGTAAACCCCGTTATCAGTGTGTAATCTGGATGACATTAATAGTAAACCCCGTTATCAGTGTGTTATCTAGGTGGCATAATTGTAAACCCCGTTATCAGTGTGTTATCTGGATGACATTAATAATAAACCCCCGTTATCAGTGTGTTATCTGGATGACATTAATAATAAACCCCGTTATCAGTGTGTTATCTGGATGACATTAATAGTAAACCCCGTTATCAGTGTGTTATCTTGATGATATCAATAGTAAACCCCCGTTATCAGTGTGTTATCTGGATGACATTAATAAGTAAACCCCGTTATCAGTGTGTTATCTGGATGACATTAATAGTAAACCCCCGTTATCAGTGTGTTATCTGGATGACATTAATAGTAAACCCCGTTATCAGTGTGTTATCTGGATGGCATTAATAGTAAACCCCCGTTATCAGTGTGTTATCTGGATGACATTAATAGTAAACCCCGTTATCAGTGTGTTATCTGGATGACATTAATAGTAAACCCCGTTATCAGTGTGTTATCTGGATGACATTAATAGTAAACCCCGTTATCAGTGTGTTATCTGGATGACATTAATAGTAAACCCCGTTATCAGTGTGTTATCTGGATGGCATTAATAGTAAACCCCCGTTATCAGTATCTTATCTGGATGACATTAATAGTAAACCCCCGTTATCAGTGTGTCAGGTGGATGACATCAATAGTAAACCCGCGTTATCAGTGTGTTATCTGGATGGCATTAATAGTAAACCCCCGTTATCAGTGTGTTATCTGGATGACATTAATCATGAACCCCCGTTGTCAGTGTGTTATCTGGATGACATTAATAGTAAACCCCCGTTGGCAGTGTGTTATCTGGATGATATTAATAATAAACCCCGTTGTCAGTGTGTTATCTGGATGTATCTGGATGACACATTAATAAGTAAACCCCCGTTGTCAGTGTGTTATCTGGATAGCATTAATAGTAAACCCCGTTGTCAGTGTGTTATCAGGATGACATTAATAGCAAATCCCCGTTATCAGTGTGTTATCTGGATGGCATTAATAGTAAATCCCCATTATCATTGTGTTATCTGGATGGCATTAATAGTAAACCCCGTTGTCAGTGTGTTATCTGAATGACATTAATAGTAAACCCCCGCTATCAGTGTGTTATCTGGATGACATTAATAATAAACCCCCGTTATCAGTGTGTTATCTGGATGACATTAATAACAAACCCCTGTTGTCAGTGCGTTAGGTGGATGACATCAATAGTAAACCACCGTTATCAGTGTGTTATCTGGGTGGCATTAAAAGTTTACCCCCGTTATCAGTGTGTTATCTGGATGACATTAACAGTAAACCCCCGTTATCAGTGTGTTAGGTGGATGACATCAATAGTAAACCACCGTTATCAGTGTATTATCTAGGTGGAACCCCCGTTATCAGTGTGTTAACTGGATGCTATTAATAGTAAACCCCCGTTATCAGTGTGTTATCTGGATGACATCAATAGTGAACCCCTGTTATCAGTTTGTTATCTGCATGGCTCCAATAGTAAAACCCGTAATCAGTGTGTTATCTGGATGGCATTAATAGTAAACCCGCGTTATTAGTCTATTATCTGGATGGCATTAACAGTAAAACCCTGTTATCAGTGTGTTATCTAGATCACATTAACAGTAAACCTCCGTTATCAGTGTGTTATGTGGATGGCATTAATAGTAAACCCCTGTTATCAGTGTGTTATCTGGATGACATTTACACTAAACCGCCGTTATCAGTGTGTTCTCTCGATGACATTAATAGTAAACCCCCGTTGTCAGTGTGTTATCTGGATGGCATTAATAGTAAACCCATGTTTTCAGTGTGTTATCTGGATGGCTTCAATAGTAAAACCCGTAATCAGTGTGTTATCTGGATGCTATTAAGTGTAAAGCCCCGTTATCAGTATGTTATCTGGATGACATAATAGTAAAACCCCGTTATCTGTGTGTTATCTGGAAGCTATTAATAGTAAACCCCCGTTATCAGTGTGTTATCTGGATGACATTAATAATAAACCCCGTTGTCAGTGTGTTATCTGGATGCTTTTAATAGTAACCCCCGTTATCAGTGTATTATCTAGGTGGCATTAATAGTAATGCCCCGTTGTCAGAGTGTTATCTGGATGACATTATTAGTAAACTCCCGTTATCAGTGTGTTATCTGGATGACATTAATAATAAACCCCCGTTATCAGTGTGTTATCTGGATGACATCAGTAGTAAACCGCGTTATCAGTGTGTTATCTGGATGGCTTCAATAGTAAACCCCCGTTATCAGTGTGTTATCTGGATGGCATCAAAAGTAATCCCCGATTATCAGTGTGTTATCTGGATGCTATTAATAGTAAACCCATGTTATCAGTGTGTTATCTGGATGACATTAATAGCAAACCCCCGTTGTCAGTGTGTTATCTGGATGCTATTAATAGTAAACTCATGTTATCAGTGTGTTATCTGGATGGCATTAATGGTAAACCCCCGTTGTCAGTGTGTTATCTGGATGACATTAATAGTAAACCCCCGTTCTCAGTGTGTTATCTAGGTGGCATTAATAGTAAACCCATGTTGTCAGTGTGTTATCTGGATGACATAAATAGTAAACCCCGTTGTCAGTGTGTTATCTGGATGACATTAATAGTAAACTCATGTTGTCAGTGTGTTATCTGGGTGACATTAATAGTAAACCCCCGTTGTCAGTGTGTTATCTGGATGACATCAGTAGTAAACCCCGTTATCAGTGTGTTATCTGGATGGCTTCAATAGTAAACCCCCGTTATCAGTGTGTTATCTGGATGGCATCAAAAGTAATCCCCGATTATCAGTGTGTTATCTGGATGCTACTAATAGTAAACCCATGTTATCAGTGTGTTATCTGGATGACATTAATAGCAAACACCCGTTGTCAGTGTGTTATCTGGATGACATTAATAGCAAACCCCGTTGTCAGTGTGTTATCTGGATGGCATTAATAGTAAACCCCCGTTGTCAGTGTGTTATCTGGATGGCATTAATAGTAAACCGCCGTTGTCAGTGTGCTATCTCGACGACATTAATAATAAACCCCGTTGTTAGTGTGTTATCTATATGATATTAATAGTAAACCCATGTTATCAGTGTGTTATCTAGATGACAGTACTAGCAAACCCCCGTTGTAAGTGTGTTATCTGGATGACATTAATAGTAAACCCCGTTGTCAGTGTGTTATCTGGATGACATTAATAGTAAACTCCGTTGTCAGTGTGTTATCTGGATGACATTAATAGTAAACCCCCGTTGTCAGTGTGTTAACTGGATGACATTAATAGTAAACCCGCGTTATCAGTGTGTTATCTGGATGACATTAATAATAAACCCCGTTGTCAGTTTGTTATCTGGATGACATTAATAGTAAACCCCGTTATCAGTGTGTTATCTGGATGACATTAATAATAAAGCCCCGTTGTCAGTGTGTTATCTGGATGCTATTAATAGTAAACCCCCGTTATCAGTGTGTTATCTGGATGGCATTAATAGTAAACCCCCGTTATCAGTGTGTTATCTTGATGGTATTAGTAGTAAACCCCCGTTATCAGTGTGTTATCTTGATGGCATTAATATTAAACCCCCGTTATCAGTGTGTTATCCGGGTGGCATTAATAGTAAACATCTACGGAGAAGATACTTACATCTACGAGAAGGAGATACTTACATCTATGTAAGGGAGAAACTTACATCTACGGAGAAGATACTTACATCTACGGAGAAGATACTTACATCTACGAGAAGGAGATACTTACATCTATGTAAGGCAGATACTTACATCTACGGAGAAGATACTTACATCTACGAAGAGATACTTACATCTATGTAGGGAGATACTGACATCTACGGAGAAGATACTTACATCTACGAGAAGGAGATACTTACATCTATGTAAGGGAGATACTTACATCTACGGAGAAGATACTTACATCTACGAGAAGGAGATACTTACATCTATGTAAGGGAGATACTGACATCTACGGAGAAGATACTTACATCTACGAGAAGGAGATACTTACATCTATGTAAGGGAGATACTTACATCTACGGAAGATACTTACATCTACGAGAAGGAGATACTTACATCTATGTAAGGGAGATACTGACATCTACGGAGAAGATACTTACATCTACGAGAAGGAGATACTTACATCTATGTACGGGAGATACTTACATCTACGGAGAAGATACTTACATCTACGGAGAAGATACTTACATCTACGGAGAAGATACTTACATCTACGAGAAGGAGATACTTACATCTATGTAAGGGAGATACTTACATCTACGGAGAAGATACTTACATCTACGAGAAGGAGATACTTACATCTATGTAAGGGAGATACTTACATCTACGGAGAAGATACTTACATCTACGAGAAGGAGATACTTACATCTATGTAAGGGAGATACTTACATCTACGGAGAAGATACTTACATCTACGAGAAGGAGATACTACATCTGAGGGAGATACTTACATCTACGGAGAAGATACTTACATCTACGGAGAAGATACTTACATCTATGTAAGGGAGATACTGACATCTACGGAGAAGATACTTACAGCTACGGAGAAGATACTTACATCTATGTAAGGGAGATACTGACATCTACGGAGAAGATACTTACATCTACGGAGAAGATACTTACATCTACGAGAAGGAGATACTTACATCTATGTAAGGGAGATACTGACATCTACGGAGAAGATACTTACATCTACGAGAAGGAGATACTTACATCTATGTAAGGGAGATACTGACATCTATGTAAGGGAGATACTTACATCTACGGAGAAGATACTTACATCTACGAGAAGGAGATACTTCCATCTACGGAGAAGATACTTACATCTACGGAGAAGATACTTACATCTACGGAGAAGATACTTACATCTACGAGAAGGAGATACTTACATCTATGTTAGGGAGATACTGACATCTACGGAGAAGATACTTACATCTACGAGAAGGAGATACTTACATCTATGTAAGGGAGATATTTACATCTATGGAGAAGAAACTTACATCTACGAGAAGGAGATACTTACATCTACGAAGAAAAACGTTACATCTACGATTAAGATACTTACATCTACGGAGAAGAAAATTACATCTACGAAGAAAAACCTTACATCTTCGATGAAGATACTTACATCTAC